AGAATCGGCATAGGCATTATCTGTTCATTACCTATAAGAAAATATCCACCTTTTAATTAACTAAGTAAGTAATTAACTTGTTTATTTTTGGCTGCGCCTGGGTCTTCATTGCTGCACATAGGTTTTCTCTAGTTGTGGCAAGCAGGGGCTACTCTTCCTTGTGGTACATGGGCTTCTCATTGCAGGGGCGTCTCTTGCTGCCGAGCAGAGAATCCAGGCTCACAGTCTTCAGTAGCTGTGGCATATGGGCTCAGTTCTTGCGGCTCAAGGCTCTAGAGCACAGGCTCAGTAGTTGTGGTACATGGGATTAGTTGTTCTGGGGCATGTGGAATCTTTCTGGATCAGGGATGGAATCTGTATCCCCTGTGTTGATAAATGGATTCTTAACCACTAGACCACAGGGAAGTCCAATATCCACCTTCTAAAGTCCTTAAATGGATTGAAAAAGTTGTCCCATTTGATCATTTTAAAAGTCCACCAGTCTCCTTTTCTACATTTTACTATCAGCAGCCAAAGCTTGCACTTTTCTGAGAGCTCAGAAGCCAAGGTTATGGGCTCATCCCACCACAGAGGCTGACCCAGCTTGCAGTACCATCAAGGTCCTGTCCAAAAGCAAATTTTCCAGAATGTTCTCAGCTCACACCTGTAGGCCTGAGATGATATGCAGAAAGTGCTTCATCAGGTGACAGAAGAAAGCTTCAGAGTAGCTAGAGCTTGATCTCATCTGGTAGCCACATTTTACATGCCTAGAAATAATTTGTATAATGTTCAAAATGAGCTACCCTGTCAGTTCCGGTGTTTTCCTTTTAGTGGCCTCCCTTCTTCACTCTTTCTTGGGTGGGATAATTCTGAGCCAGGTTCTTTACACATTCTTTGCTTTCTAGAGTTTTCCTACAGGACCAAAATCCAACTATATGTAGCTGGCTTAAAATGCATCCAAAATAAATTTACTTATTGGCTTCCCAAAGAAAGCATTTGCACTTGAATCCCTGTATCAGGGTCTGCTTCTCAGGGACCCAAATTGAGATGCCCTCTGTGTAAAAGCCTCCCCCATCCTGAGGTGACTTTACCTGGCCCCTTCCTTGACTCATAATGGCAGACAGGATTCAGGAGAAATGAAATTTACCCATAAAGGAGTGATAAAAAAAATTACCCTGTTATAACGGTGATTCATGAGCCCTTTATGCCCTGAAGCAAAGGGCCTGACCCTATCTAGATAGTCCCTGATCTACAGTATTAGGAGCTAACTCTCTCTCCAGAATGGATATCTCAACCACTGCTCCTTGCCCCTCCCTGACCTGGGTTAAGTGAAGCAGGGCTATTATGTAAGGTTCTTACCTCCCACCACTAGAAGACACTACCTCACATGCAGAAAGCTAGGCTTCCTCCTGTTGTTCAGTCTCTCAGTTGTGTCTGACTCAGCGACCCCATGGACTGTAGCACGCCAGGCTTCCCTGTCCTTCACCATCTCCCAGAGCTTGCTCAAACTCATGTCCATTGAGTCAGTGATGCCATCCAACCATCTCATCCTTTGTTGTCCCTTTCTCCTCCTGCCTTCAATCTTTCTCAGCATCAGGGTCTTTCCCAGTGAGTCAGTTCTTTGCATCAGGTGGCCAAAGTTATGGAGCTTCAGCTTCATTATCAGTCCTTCCAATGAATATTCAGGATTGATTTCCTTTAGGATTGACTGGTTTGATCTCCTTGAAAGGCAATGCCAAAGAATGTTCAAACAACCACAAAGTTGCACTCATTTCACATGTTAGCAAAGTAATGCTCAAAATTCTTCAAGCGAAGCTTCAACAGGACATGTATCGAGAATTTTCAGATGCTCAAGCTGGATTTAGAAAAGACAGAGGAAACAGAGATCAAATTGCCAACCCATTGGATCATAGAAAAAAGCAAGAGAATTCCAGAAAAACATCTACTTCTGCTTCAACGACTAAGCCAAAGCCTTTGACTGTATGGATCACAACAAACTGTGGAAAATTCTTCAAGAGCTGGGAATACCAAACCACCTTACCTGCCTCCTGAGAAATCTGTATGCAGGTCAAGAAGCAACAGTTAGAACGAGACAGGGAACAACAGACTGCTTCCAAATTGGGAAAGGAGTATATCAAGGCTGTATATTGTCACCCTGCTTCTTTAACTTATATGCAGAGTACATCATGCGAAATGCCAGGTTGGATGAAGTACAAGGTGGAATCAAGATTGCCGGGAGAAATATCAATAACCTCAGATATGCAAATGACACCACCCTTATGGCAGAAAGTGAAGAAGAACTAAAGAGCCCCTTGATGAAAGTGAAAGAGGAGCATGAACAATTCAGCATTCAAAAAATGAAGATCATGGCATCTAGTCCCATCACTTCAGGGCAAATAAATGGGGAAACAATGGAAACAGTGACAGACTTTGTTTTCTTCGGTTCCAAAATCGCTGCAGATGGTGACTATAGCCATGAAATTAAAAGACGCTTGCTCCTTGGAAGAAAAGCTATGACCAACCTAGACAGCATATTAAAAAGCAGAGACACTACTTTGACAACAAAAGTCTGTATAGTCAAAGCTATGGTTTTTTCAGTAGTCATGTATGGATATGAGAGTTGGACCATAAAGAAAACTGAGCACTGAAGGACTGATGCTTTTGAAGTATGGTACTGGAGAAGACTCTTGAGAGTCTTGGACTGCAGGGAGATCAAACCAGTCGATCCTAAAGGAAATCAGTCCTGAATATTCATTGGAAGGACTGATGCTGAATCTCCAATACTTATGCTTCCTCTTGAACCAAGGCTTAATCTTCAGTACCCCAGAGAAAGAAGCATTCCTTGCATGGATAGGTCACTGCCCATCCCCACTTTGGCATTCTGTGTCAAGCCTCTTCTTCCTTGGGTCAGAGCCCTGACTTAGAATGATTTAGCCCTTGACTCAACCTTAGAATGATTTAGCCCTTAACTCAACCTATAGTTCCAACATGCTACACACAGATTTTAAGTCCTAACCTTTGTCACAGGCTTCCTACTTTGCTGGGAGATAAACCATGTTATCAATAAGAGAACAGCCAAAGATCATTATACTCGAATTTTTTAAAAATCTCAGAGTGGGAATGGCCTTTATGGTACAAAATCCAGAAGCAATAAAAAGAAAAGGACAATAAATTTGACCAGTATTTAAAATTTCTGAGTTGCTTAAAAAAAAAAAAAAGAAAAGGAGGGGTTTTAAAAAAGGGAAAAAAAAATGTTCATGCATAATACATGGGCTTCCCAGGTGGTGAAGAGGTAAAGAATCTGCCTGTTAATGCAGGAGACATAAGAGATGTGGGTTCAACCCCTGGATTGGGAAGATCCCCTGGAATAGGAAATGGCAACCCCCTCCCAGCATCCTTGCCTGGAAAATTCCATGGACAGAGGGGCCTGGTGTGCTACAGTCCATGGGATTGCAAAGAGTCAGACATGATTGAGCACACAGACAACATGCATATACATATGAAACCACTTAAGCCTCCACAAAAGGCTGTTACCTCTGATTTCAGAGAAGGATCCTGAAACTTGGAGAGGTAAAGAGATTTTGGCCAAGGTCAGCTTGTTGAGGCACATTTCACACCCTAAGGGAGTCACTCCTGATTCTATAGGAAGATGGATGAGGGAGGAGAGATGGAAGGGGACATGGGAGGCAGAGTAGAGGAAGGGGAAGGGCTGAACTACCAGGAGAGAAGGGGTGTCAGGCAAGGCATGGATACTGCCTCCTCAGTCTGGGTAAGAAGAGGTGGACTAAGCCGATCACCTGCCACCTGTACAGTTACTGTGTGCTAGCTGTGTGCCCTGTGCTGATTCCAGAGGAACAAGTACAGGCCCCCCTAAAAGTAGGGACAGTATGCCACTCCAGCCAGTCTCGTGGGAGCAGTGTGAGGATCAGATGACCAGGCAGGGACCCAGAGCCAGCTTTACAAAACACTCTGTACTAAGAACCTGTCATGGATGCTAGGAAGGGCTGGGAATGAGGTGTGTAGCGTCACAAAACCTTGACATCATCCTCGATGTCTCTTTCTTGCACACTTCAGTTCACTCCATTAGGAAATCCTATTGGCAGAAACTGATGCATCTTGACCTTCACTTCTCCTGTAAGGACTGGGAATTATGAAGGGTTCTGGGTAAGCAGAAGAGGCCAGGCCGCACTGGGGAAGCAAATTCAGGAAATAAACTACCCACAAAGATCTCAGAGAATATGGATCTGAATCTCCAAGGCCCCAGCATTTTGTTGTGATTGCTTTGCTCATTCTAAATAAATTTTCATTCACAAGCCTTGATTCTGCAGGGCTTTCTGTACCAGCCCTCTTTTCTCCCCTCCCCCCACAACTGTATAAGCTTCAGGCCCCAGAAAACCTTCATCCACTCCTGGTTTAAGGTCTCAAAGCTCACCAAGGCAGGCCTTGAGAACAGAGGTGTAAATTTGTCATGAAAGTGGAGGCAGGGCTGCAGTAAAGAGTAAATCCTCATCTAACATGGCAGAAAGTCAATAGATAAATCAAGAAACCGCTATGTAAGCTTATATTTTAGGGACATGGGGGTAACCACTAGAAGAACTCAACGGAGGAAGTGATATAAAGGACTGCGTGGAGGGCACAAGGGAGAGGACCCTATTGCTTTCATATCAAAAACACGTAAGTAGGTAATTTTATTTTGTAAAAACGTTCATGCATTACTCTGATTTATTTAGAATTTTGATCTTTAAAGAAAGAAAATAAAAAATAAAAATAAGAAATAAAACGGAATACAAAACAAAAATAAAATGCAAAAGCACACACAATAAAAGCCAGTGAATGGGGGCAGGGGCGGGAGCGTGGGGCGAGTGGGCGTGGTTTCTATGGAGGGGGCGGGGCATGGGACCCGGGTCTCCTTTAGGGCCCGCCCCCAGTGAGGAAGTAGGGCGCCGGCGGTTTCTCTCTGACTCCGCCCACCTCAGAGAGCCGGAGTAGCGCAAGGTCAAGTTCGCCTTAGACCCTCCCTCTCACCCCGCACCCCGGGTCGGGGCCGGCAGGTCCTGGGCTGACCCCACCACCCACCCCGGAAAGGACCTTTCATGCGCAGGCCTGGCGCGGTCCTCGCCGGGCCTTCGGTGCAGGGCTGTTCGCGGGCGAGGAGCCCCGGTTCGGCGCCTCCGGGCCCCTAGTTCCCTGGAGTCTCCGGAGGCTCGCCGAGTGCCTCTGCGGAGCCCCGCGACGCGCAGGTAAGCGCAGTCAAGGCCGGACCTGTTCAGCACCCCTTTACCCCAGCTGGCGGCCGCCGACACCTGGCCGGCGCCGGAGCGACAGGTGGAGGCGGGGCGCGGAGCCCGATAGCCCATCCGGGTCGGGTGGACACTAAAGCGCCTCCTCTCTACCTCTGGCGCCGCCCATTCTAGCTACAGCGTTATCAACCTAACCCCAGCACCCCTGTGGCTCAAACCCGAGCCTACCATCAGCACTCGTGCACTCAACAAATACAAATAAGATTTCACCAAACACTGCATGCCTCTGGGCTCCGTGCTGGCGGTGTAGTGCGGGCCAACGAACGTGGTGCCCGGCCCCGGGGGTGGGAGAGACCCACAGCAAATAGATAATCTCCACACGTGAGTGTAAAAGCTAAAACTGAAAGATCGGTAGAGACAGTACGTGCAGAGTGCTGGGAGAGCAGGTAGCCGGTGGTCCCTACCTATAAAGAATACCGGAAGCTCACTCTTCAGTATGCATATAAGGGTTCCAAAGCCGAGAACCACAAAGCAAGCACACTTATTGAGAGGGACTGTGGCTTGTTTGGGAAAAGGACGGTTTGGGGGCCTGGCCCACTGAGAGCTGGAAGAAAAGCAAGTTCCTTAACTTCCTCCTCTGTAAAATGGGACTATTCCTCCCCATTAGCGATTGAGATGTTGCATATAAATGATTTGGTGGTATTCAAACGAGCAGTGAGTGAGGTAAAGGTGAAGATGTTTAGATGGAGCAGGGCATTGGTTTGGGCCGAACACTGTGCTGCTTTCAGGAAAACTCACTTCCCCTCTCCTGGAGTCCTGTTTCTTTGTCTGAGTAGAATCTCTCAAACAGCTTCTTCTTTGAAATGACGACCGCTTTAGTCACTCATTCTTGAAATATTTAAATGGTGCCCACTCCACACTGGTCCTGCCCTCCTGGAGCCCACATTGAGTGGGTCAGGTGAAGTATACTGACAGTCCCAGCCTGGTGAGCGTGGTGCTCTGGGAGCAGAGCCTGACCTTGCCAGGGCCTTGCCAGGGACAGCCCTTCTGCTCCCGGCCAGGGCCGGGTGTGCATTTCCCAGAAAGCCTCAGTTGCTGCTGCCAGCTCTGCGAGCCCCCTGAGAACACAAGGCTCATACTCCTCAGCTGAGCATTGACTTTACTATTTTCATTGGTGGCAGTACCCCTTCATGAGATAGCAACCCTGCTGGTCCCTTGCTGAGGACCCCCAGCAAGGGATTTAGGAGTGCACTGGGGGCTTCAGAAGACACCTGGCTGTTGACTGCTTGGTATATTTTATTGTCTTGGATGATGCCAATTCCTTCTTTGGCTCTGTTTATACTGTTGGTGTAGACTGAGGATTTGCCCCATGAAAACAGGCCAGGAAGCCCAGAGAGTGGAGAACACAGTTGAAGGAGAAATCTGGCATGGTTTGTGAATAGGGATTAAAAAAAAATAACAACAGAAGGTTGCTGGGGGGAGGGGGAGGAGAGAGGGCAGGCTTTGGGCAGCCACTATGTTTCAGACGGGAGCAATACCACTTGTGGAGAGCAAAAGGGGAGTGCTGGGTTAGGCAGTCACAGACCCGGGTTCAGATTATTTGTTACTGCCCAGCTGTGTCTGACCCTGGGCAGGTCACTTATTGTCTGATTGTGGGAGCTTAAGACAGCGTTTGATATCTAGTTGGCTCCAAAGAAATGTAACCTCCCTCCCTCTTCCCCTAAATAAATGAAAACAACAGTAGTATTAATGCTTACTTCAGAGCCTTATTATGGGGATTTAATGTACCTAAAATACATAGATCAGAGTCTGACATGTAGAAGTTACTGCTGTCATTGCAATTGTTATTCTTTATTCTGGGAAAAAATTGATAAAATGAGATGGGAGGTTGGTTCTGAGGAACTGTGCGGGGTGATTAGTGGAGAAGTTGGGTTATCTATTGCAGTGGTTTTACTGGAAAGCATCAGCCCTGGCAGCAGAAAAGGGTGTTCTGTGTGATAAAGGGCCTTTTGGGCAGCCAGGCTGTCAGAAGACTCAAGCCAAAGAAAACAGCAAAAGCATGGGGGTTGGGGTGGGGTGGTAGAGTTGAAAGAGACCTAATGTTGTCTTGTTTGGGTTGTCTCTAGCTCACAGCCGGATGTGGGTCCCTGATGAGAGCTGCTCCTGCCCCTTGCTGGCTCCTGCCCTCCTATGGGTATGGTAATTGCCTGAGACTGCTTGGTCCAGGAGCTGTGGAATTCAATTCTGTGAGCCCTTTACCCAGCAGAGTACTGTGCCCATAATGAATGAATGAATGAAGAAACCTAAACCTGCAGGGCAAATTTCCCAGTGTGTTTAAGTGTGCTGTTAACAGAAAAGAATATGAAAATAGGGAGAGATAGCTAATGTTTTTAGGCCTTTGCTAAGGGCCGTTTTTATGTATGTTGCAACTTAGTGGTGAACAGTGCAGCTTTGGAGTCAGATGAAATTGCTGATGTGATCTCACACGCATCACAGAAGCTCTTACATATAAGTATGTGCACTTTTGCATCTGTAACGTGGGACTCATTGTCCCTTATTCACAGGACATTCAGTAATGCTTACATATAAGTATGTGGCTTGCTATCCTCAGCACACAGGCTTCCCAGGAGATGCAAGAGATGTAGGTGTGATCCCTGGGTTGGAAGGACACACACACACACACACACCCCCTCATCACGCAGCACGAGGTATCAGAAGTACTCAGTCAATAATAGCTGCAGTTATTATTACTATCTTGATAACTGCAGGTAATAGTATTATTATCTTGATAATCCTCCCAGTGATCTCCACTGTGAAGACAAACAGAAGGCCACAGACACAGATGGGTGGCATTGATTCTGAGCTCAGTCCCGTCTGGAAGCAGAGGCTCTGTGCAGTCTGGGCAGACACTAACCAGACAGCTTTATGTGCATTTCATTCATTACTTAAAGCACTTGACTATGTGAAATCTTAAAAGGAAAAAGAATTGCAAAATGATAATTTATGTGCCTTTCAAGTTCAGGTATTTTATCATTGAGATAAATCTTCCATGCATCTATGTTAAACCACTTTGGGCTGTCGAAGCTTTTAAATAAAGTGGTTCGTCCTGACCAGTGTCTGTCTTTGCTCGTTTATCATAGTTCCCTGGTAGACAGACAGATCCCATTTTGCAGGGCAGGCCTCAGGACAGCAGCTCCTGCCCCACTGTTTTAGACATGCAGTTCTGCATGGTGTGTTTAACAAACCACAGTGGACTCATGATCCCTTCATCACTGTCTCACTCACGTACTCATAGACCCACAGCACCACTCTTGGAACTAGGAATAGAATTCTAGGCATTCTGTGGTCAGTGTAAATCTGGGGAAGTTGGCTCCAGGGGAATCTCAGATTCCCAGTGATGGGTTTGGGGATGAAAATGCCTTGGATGAAGGTAGCAACGTCTTCTAGAAGTCAGGGCTGTCTGCCCTTCCCATCCAGAAGTCCCATCTCTGGGTCTGACTTCCTGCTGGGTAAAGGTCTGATCTGCATCTCTGTGCCTCCCTGCTGCCCCTGCCTCTGGCCAGAGCTTCCCTGAAAGCCAGAACCCCTGCAGCACATGCAGGAGCACAACCTGCTTAAGGAAGCCTTTCTGAATCGACCCTGCATTCCCGTGGCCCCAGTGGGCACCTCTGCCGGGTATTGCTTCTCCAGCTTCTCTGTGGGCTGTGAGCACTTCCACAGCTACTGGACTGAGCATCCCTGGTACCGGCACCTATCTTGTTAATTGTCCTCTCTCCTGCCCACCCCCCCGACCCCCACTTCTATTCATTCTTCAGGCAGCGTCCTGGGGATTAGAATGCTGAGACAAAGTGACACAGCCTCCACCCTCATGCGGCCCAAAGACATCATGAGACAGATTATTGATAAAGACAGCATTGAGCACACGACCACACATATATTGTCAAATTTTAAACTGAATTTACTGCCTTGAAGGAGAAGCCTGGCATGCCAGGAGAAGCATAAGGTGGGATAGATATAGAAATGTATCAATATACATAGAGGAGGCCCATAAATGTTAGTTGGGAGCTTGTACTCAATTGTTTATATATCTTTGAAAACTATTGGATAGTATAGTATTTTTCTATAAGTTCTGGCAAATAATATATTTTATGTGACCAGGGTAATCTTCTAAGAATGTGTACTTTAAAAATCACTGTGCTTTGGCTTCAAAATGGGAGAATAATGCTAGCGCTCCAGTTCACTTAAATCCCAGGGCCCCAGGCCATGGACTGGTCCTGGCCCATGCTGCACAGCGGGACTGGCAGTGGTGGCCTGTTAGGAACCGGGCTGCGTGGCAGGAGGTGAGCGGCAGGCAAGGGAAGCTTCATCTATATTTACAGCTGCTCCCGTCACTCGAATTACTGCCTGAGCTCCACCTCCTGTCAGATCAGCAGCAGCATGTGATAAATAAAATGTGCCTGAATCATCCTGAAACCACCCCACCCCCCAATCCATGGAAAAACTGTCCCTGGTGCTACCTGCTGACTTAACCCTTTACAGTTACAGAGCCCTCCCTTGGATGTTGTCTTGCTGGGTGCGCTAGTTCTCACTATCACACCTCTTATACTGGGTGGTGGCAGCTAACAGACGTCCAGCTTGCCTCACGGCAGACGAGCACAGTGGGCATTGAAACCCCATCCCTTCAGAGCCACAGGGTCCACTGAGAGCCTGTTTTCCCTCCTCCTTTGATACCTCTGGGCACCAGGCTGAGGTTCCAGCATAGATTTTAGAATGTTGCATCTAGAGACCTGCCATTTGAAGGGAAAGGACACAGCTGACTGCTCTTGTCCAGGTCTGGAGGGGCACCTGTCTGCATCCAGCAGAGGGTGGGTGGGTGGGTGAGCTGGCAGCGAACTGCTCCTGCAGGGCCCTGCCGCCCCAGTGTGGTCCCTCTTGAGGAGCCAGGGTCCTCTCCAAAGGGATACCATGCCTGCCTCAAGCCCAGTCAGTCCCTCTGAGAACCAGGAGAAAATCATACTAGAAGTCCAGCTTTAAATAAGACATGATCCAAACAGCCCCAGGAAATGTTCCCTCTCCATGACTGAATGGTATTAGAGAGTTACTTTATTTATTTGGCC